ATATACCACTTGATTTCCCTGTCTCCAGTCAATTCCCCTTTCAATCCATACTTCCTCTAGAAAAATTTTTATAAAATGCAAATAGATTATGTCATTCTTTGCTTCATTAGCTTCCAAAACCTATTGCATAAAGTCCAAACTCCATGGAAGGGTATAATGACCCCTGTTGGTTTCGGCTCAAGTCTATTTTTCTGGCTACATCTCCTACCTCTTGTCTAATTATGACTGTGCTCCAATCTTGTTAAACTACTAACCTTTTCCCTAATAGGCCATGATTTTTCTTGTTTTTTTTTTTTGTTTGTTTTGTTTTTGTTTGTTTGTTTTTTGTTTTTTTCCTCCCTTCTCTAGACAGCTAGCCCTTTCTCCTTTTCTTTCTTTAAGGATCCACTCAAGTTTCCCTCTTCCATGAAGCCTTCCCTGAAATCCTCATGACTCCTTGTGCATAATTCTCTAAAAGCCACTCTTCACACTGTATTATAACCATCTATACTTCTTTTCTCCCCCAGATGAAAGTGAATGAATTGAGGACATTAATGCCAGCCATCTCTTATTCACCAATGCATCTTCAATGTCAAGCATAAAACCTGAATCATGAAAATGTTTAGCAACTGAATGTATCAACTTATAAATGCCTCCTCAGAAGGAACAACTTATAATTGCCTCCTCAGATTCCTTCTGTGCCCTCTTCATGGCGCCAAAGAGATGTGGTCAAGACAAGAGCTTTTTTTAAATTGAGAGATAATTAACATAAAACATTTTATTAGTTTCATGTGTAAAATATAATGATTCAATATTTGTATGTATTGCAAAATGGTCATCACAATAAGTCTAGTAAACATCCATCTCCTCATGGTTAGTTCTTTTCTTATGATGAGAACTTTTAAGATCTACTCTGTTAGCAATTTTCAAATATGCAATACAGTATTATTAACGGACAAGAGCTTTCGTACACTATGAATGAGTTAGGATGATATGCATTTTCAAACTTGCTTCTAACCGGAATCATGATTCTCAAAGTGAGAAGAAAACACGTAAAATATTACAAAATATTAGTGTCTAAAAAATGATGGGCTTTTCAAGACTGATAGTTTATTTAATTGTATTTGTTGCAATGTAATCTGCCTAATTTCATATGTTGATCATCAATAATTAAACCAATGAGAAATGAGGTCTTCTCACATTTGTTTTTGAGGGTTTTTGATAGACTATAGGAACCATGGCAAAAAGCACTACAAAAATAGTAACAGCATAGAGACAAATCATGCTAAATATGCACCTACTTAAAAATTAGCATTCAGTAAACGAGTAACATATAAGAAAGTAAACATGCTATTCCTGTATAGATGGAAGAATTTATTTAGTGTCTATTTAATTTTTTTTAACCTGAATGACTGCACATTCAATTTGTGTTAAATGTTTAGAAATGGAGGTACTATTGTTGTTTTAGAACGATTCAAAGAAGCGAAAAGCCCAGTCAAAAAGTAAGCAGCAAGGGACTGAGCTTGCAAAGCAGATGTTTTACCATTTGCTGAATTTCCAATAATAAATATCACCTTTTAAGTTGAGAAAAAAATAACATTGTTCTTTACCGGTAACTTTTTGCAAATTGAGCAAATGAATAAAACATCTCTAACTTTGGGGATGCCCAAATGTCAGAAATGAAAAGTATGCAACTTTATTTTAAAATACTCATTGTCATCTCTACTGATAACTCCATTTTCTGGTCCACTGGGACTATTCTTTACTTAATACTGAAGTAGATTTGGAAGTGTGTTCTCCTTCTTGGAAAACTCGAACAATATCTATTTAACAGATGGTGTCTATATAGTCTTCCTTAGAAAGCCTTCTAATATATCTTTATCTAAACGATTTATGAAGTACCTTCCTCTTTGAGAGTTCTTCTCTGTGTTTGATGCTGTGTTGCTTTTTAATATCAAGAATTCCTTAACTCCAAAAGGGGTCTTTCTTCTGATAAGATAAATTTACTTCAAACTCCATGGAGTTTTTGTGTAAAATCTATGAAATATAGCTGGTCATTTTTTTCTATTTTTCTAGAAATTGGGTCATTTAAAGAATCAAGGACAAATAGATAATTGATGATATCAGGAAGCTGCCTCCTAATATTTTGTCTATTTATCATTATACTATCACATATTTTCATTATTTTTTATCAACTCAAATAGCCAAATTTAGTTTCGATTTTGCCGGCCACATTGTATGAATTTGACGTGGTTTCTAAGTTGTGTTAACAGGCATATGCTTTGCATTATTTTTCTAAAATGGCTATGCTTACCATAATTTTTCAAAAAAATGATATCAGGTGATACCCATTCTCGTAACTTATTACTGACTTATTAAAACAGCATCATATTTGAAGTTACCACCAGGGTGCAGTCATGATGCAAATAATTTTCTCCTCAAAAGAAGCTAAATAGACTATAGGACAATTTTATTCCACAATCTTGGCCCTATTAGCTGTGTGTTCTATTGAGTAACTCAGTCCAAACTAACTTAGATTAAGCGTTAGAACATTCATTCAGTTATATAATGAAATGTGAGTCATGTAAGGTGTGTGTGTGTGTGTGTGTGTGTGTGTTGATCCACAAATACATAGTAGAGCCATTTCAATAAAGCAATAATGGCAAGTAGAATCATAGACACAAAATTAGAAAGAACCTTAGGAATGATCCACCCAAACTCTTCATGAATCTCTTACCAACATCCTGTACAGGTGATAGCTCAACTACTGTACAATTTTACTAACATAATCTCATTCTTTCCAGTCCTGGAGAGGTTTCCTTGTTAGAAATTTATCTCTTATCCTGAGCAAAAACTTACCTCTGTAACATTCATCTTAGTGCAACATTCTTTAATCAACTTTGCCCAACCAAAACATCAGGATCCTGAAAGTCCTTGTTTTAATGAGAAATATTTTTGTCTACAATATTTTTTTTCTAAATACTTTGGATCCAATCATGATTAGTAAAATAAGATGGAGGTAGATTGAAAGGATCAAGGACCTAATACCAATCTCCCATAGTTGAGAGATACACCATAAACAAGAAAGTGTGGGATGTATTGTCTAATCCAGCAGGCAGGACATAGAATCTGAGCAGAATGAACGAATTATACCAAGAAGTCAGAGCTAGGATTTCCATGATTTTCTTGGTGTCTTAAGCATATGTTTTATCTAATGATGCATTTACTTAGACTAGCATTGGACCGTGAATGTGGTGATATTTATGACTATGTTGGCAAAGGTTATATCCCAATTTTGAAAAGGCACTACTTTTTCAAATATAGATTTCCTTAGGGTAGGATTTGTGTTCTTTGAAATGATGAGGAGCCTAAAAATTTTCCCCAATACTTTGAGTTCTGTCTATTAATTATCCTTGACTTCACTTTCTCATAGAAAATATTTTTCTACTTTCTCATAGCTATCAGACACATTAACAAGCTGTGAATCAGTTGGGGCAAATTAACTCCACTAATAAAGGAAGTTTTCTTATAACCCTGATTACTAGTGTTTCCTGCCAAAGATGTCATTGCCTTAAAATTTTTTTCAATTGTTGAAAAATATTTTATTAAGCAAGAAACTGAACACAGTACCAAAGTGACTAGCACTTCGATTTGAAAGAATGGTTAGGATGATGGGAGACTGGAAAGAACCCATGAAGAAACCTGAGTTCTTGTCCTGCCTCTGTCTTTAACTCTTTGGTCACATAGAATCCATGCTATACAGGAAACTAAAGAGGTACTTGGTTTAACACAAGCCAATTTAGTTTTTTTTTTTCCTTAGCTATAAAGCGTCTTTAATTTAAGAAGCCAGTATCTGCAGGATCATAGCAATAGCATTTAAGAAACAGTATAAATTTTCCCCCAAGAAGCAATAATGGAGGTAATGACATCTGCAAGGAGACCAGACACTTTCTTGCATCCACTTTTTTTTTTCTTTTTCTTTTTTTTGGTATTCATCATTAGGCTTTAAAAGATATAAAAAGAGAATACAAACAACAACATTTAAGTGGGAAGTTGTTCAGGTAGTAAGTTGCCCAGCTGTCTGAGATGAATATTAACGTTGGAAAGGAGAAGAGACAGGAGCTTAAGCTGTTTATACATACCTTTAGATTAATATAGATTTTTGTTTTCTATTAACTATACTAATTGTCGGGAAACTCACATAATACATTGTTACCAGACAAAAAATGAAGTTGAAAGAAGATAGTGACTGGGAGCCATGTGTCTTTATGTTGGCAACAATCATATATCATAGAACAATGGGTTTGTAGAGACGTGGGAAGGTGTTGGGCATACATATATATATGTCAAAGTAGAACTTTTTTTGATTATTGGCAATTCTTGGGCATTGGGAGCTGGAAGACTGCTCTTATATAAACATTTGCTTGATAAATAAAAACCTATCTTATCTCACAACTTTAAGCCAAAAGCCAAGTAATGAAAATATGTAAAAACTTATTTTTTTATGAGTTAGCAAATATTGACCCTTACTATGTACGATGGCATTGTGCTAAAACATCATTCATGAATGGATACATATTAGAATTTGGAAATGGAAAAATTCTTTAAATTCCTCCATAATGGAAAGATTCTTCTTAGTTAAGTAGTCAACAATGTCCTGAGAAACATCAACTACATACATGGTTTTAAGAATAATAACTAAAATTCATAACTACTTGAGAAAATAAAGTCATCAGCTATTACAACCTCCATACTTTAAAATTTTGTGGTTGCAAGACTTACCTTATAATAGATAATCATGAAAAAATTAAATAATATTCTATCTAATTTCCTCTTGCATAGAATGATAATGAAAAGGAAATGATTGAAATGAAAGTGAAAAAGCTAAACGTATTAATTTATTTTAATTCATTTAATATCAATCAATTCAACGACCATAAAGTATTACTGCAAATAGATTTTCTTAAAAGTGGAAATAAAAACAAGAAATAAAGGTGAAGCCAGTAGTCAAAATTTCTTACCTGAAGTTGCTTTTTGTTCTCTTTTCTTCTCCACTCTCCCTGAAATGAGAAGTGGCAGATCAGTTGCAGTGTGGGACCATGGGAATATAATGAAACCAAGATGAAAGCCCAGATTATGGCAATTTCTAAACATAATCACTACTTCAGCCACATCCAGCATGCTTCTAGATATGATTGGGCACAGTTGAAAGGGATGGAAAATGCTCCCAAATCAATTTATGGAAGTCAAAAATAAGTGACTAGAGATTCAACATGCTGTTAGGGTTTTAAAAAATCTTGTTAATAAGAGTCACTTATTCAAAAATAAACCTACAAGGTGCAAATCCCCATAAGACAAACTTTGGGAGAAGCACCTGAATAAGATAGTGGCCTCTTACAACCTACTTGAGAAGATAAAGGACAGACAATACAACATGAAATGAGTTGTGCCCCCAAAAGGTACAGAATGCCTAATGATGAGAGGATGAAGAAATTATTTTAAGAAATGAAGTGGTGCCCACAAAATTATGGAGAAAGTGGTATTTAATTTGAACCTGAAGAGATACATGTGAATTTGCGAATTTGAAATAGAGAAAGGAATGATTCTTGGCAAAGGAAATAGTATGAGCTTTGTATAACAAGGCTATTTGAGCAAAACAAATCATGTTTAGAGCTTGATTTAGGAACCCGAATGAACACTAGTAGCTTTGCATAGGAAGAGGGCTCTCCTAGAGGTTGACCAAGAGGTGTAGACTAAGTATGGCAGTGAGAGTGGAAAGGGGTGAAGTGATGAATGCAAGAGAGAGTGAGAAGGCAGAACTTATAGGGTCCAGGGATGTACCAAATGTGAAGTGCAAGGGAGCAGGAAAAGTCAAGATGAATGGTTATCTAGGTGTCTTTGGTGTGGTAATGCAATATAGGGGAACAGTAAAATGTGATGGAGCATGGGAATGACAAGTTCGGTTCTGGACTTACTGTGTCTGAAGTGCTACAGGGATATAGAATTTGGGTGAGAGGTTAGAACTGAAATTACAGGTGCAGAAAATGCCCATCTTGAGAAGACAGGTGGAGCTGAGCGGGGCAGGGAATGGGAATGTAAAGGCAGACAACACACAGGGTTGGGCTGAGAATATTGTCCAAGAAAACAAAAATGCTACTTTTGTTTGTGATATAGGACCATGAGAAGTCAGATGAAACAGCAGAGATTCATGGAGTACAAAGTCATGTACTACAAATAAAATTTTTGGAAGTATGGGGGGGTACCAACAGCATCCAATGCTGCCAAATTCACTCGATTGTTGCTAGATTGTGAGAGCGCAGTTTTAGCAGAGAGCGGGCGGAAAACTCAAAAGAGGCAGTTAGGCCTGAAGATCAGTGAGCAATGAGGAACATGAGGCTGATGAACGGCTTCTTGCTCATGAAATCTGACAGCATGCAAAAGTGTGAGATGGGACAATAGCTTGAATAGGAGCAAAAATCAAGGTTTCTGCTAGCCTATGGGACACTCCAGTATGTTTATAGGCTTAGATAAGTAGCTTTGCACCAAGGCAATGGTGTGTGTAAACACCAGTGATGAAGTGACAGCCTTCATTTTGTGATGGGTAAGTGAGGGCCACCCTTCCAGTCATCACTGTCCTGTTGGCTATCATTTCACAGACAGAACTCATTACTGAGAGTTTATGCAATACATGGAAGCTGTATATAAACTTTAAGTTTTTTTACTAGCTCTTCATGTCTTTAAAAATCCTAAAATATAAAGTGGAAAATACACAATCTTTCCCTTGTGCAGCTGCCAAAAGTGTAGAATTCATTTAACTGGCATCTTGATTAATGGCACACTCTATTTATTTGGGTGATTTCCAGAGGACTTGTTGGATGCAATTTATTTCAACTATTCAAAAAGATAAATAGCATGAATAGTCCATTTAAAGGCTTCATTCATTACCAAGTGTGATGGGGCACCTCCTCTTTTGAGTTTTTTGAATTGGGAAACCATTGTTTACTATTGTACATTTTTATATACAAGAAGCCTCAAACATTTTCATGGATTTTAAAAAATATTATTCAAGTCCTGAATTATAAAATGTTTAAATAAAAACATCTATTTGGAGAGTCTTTAACTTGCATAGGAATGAGTCAGGTAGACAATGAATGTTTTGGAGATAAATAATATGGTGTGATAGTCAGTCTTCAAGGTGACTCTAGTGACCTTCCTTTTCTTCCTTCTGGTATTCTTGTCCCCACCTGCACTGAATTAGACTGACTCGTGTAACCAATAGGATTTTGCAGAAATGATGACGTGTGATTTCCGAGATTGGGCCTTAAAAAACTCTGTGGCTTCCACCTTGCTCTCATGGATCACTCCCTCTGAGGGAGTCCAGATTACATGTTGTGAGGACACTTAAGCAACCTGATGGAGAGGCCTGAGTAGCAAAGAACTGAGGCCTTCTGTCAATAGCCGATAAGGAACTAAGACCTCCTACTAATAGGCATCAACTTGCCAGGCTTCTGTGCAGCCCATCCTCCAGCCTCAGTCAGACCTTCAGATGGCTATAGCTCTGGCTGACACCTTGACTGCAATTGCATGGGAGATCCTGAACTGGAACCATTCAGTTAGTCACTCCAAAGCTTCCCACAGAAACTGTGAGATGACAAATGTTCATTGTTGTTTTCAGCAGTGAAGTTTTGGGTAAATTGTTATACAGTAATAGATAATCAATACTTATTAGATAATTTTTTTTATGAAGGCTTGAGTTAATTTATCACTTAATATAATACAACTAGTGATGCTAATTGCATCAAATTAATTGGTTTCCTTGACTTTCTCACCTGTAAAGTGGGATCAGATATGCTTATTTGCAATACTATGAGGATTAAATAATTCCATATAAAAATAATTCCATAAATAATTCCAAAAGCCAGCAAGAAATGGAGGAAAGTCACACAAAATATTGGTGTTTGATATTTCAGAAGGGAGGCTGGAAGGAATTGCTGATAATATTTTTTTTCACCGAGACCTTGAACAGTTCTTTGCCCCTGTGGTATATAAAAGGGCTCTGTAAACTGTAGAGAGTTAAATAAATGTTATTTATTAGTTTTATTATGCTATTAGTTCTGTTGTAGGAATTCATTTCAATTTCTATACTTAGCTACATATACACTAAATTTCAAATCAGGAAAATAAAAACTAGTTAAATAAGAAAATATTAAAATGGTTGAAGGACACAGAGATTGCACTGTTTAACTGGAGATGACAGCTCTAGGTTTCTTTTTTTAGTCTCTTTATCTTGCTCCCTATGTGTGATCTCCTCTCTCATTCTCTCGGTGTTCACCTTCATGGAAAGAGACAATTAAGATACTTCTGTCCCTAGCTCTAAAATCTATTTAGGTTTCAGGTCCACTGGAAATCTCTGTCTGTATTTTCTTCTGTACTACAACACATGTCCTTAAATTAAATCATTATATTCTCCTATAAAACTGTTTGTCTTCCTAGCTGCTCAGGTACCCAAACATGAAACCTAAGAATCATCAGTTCCTTCCCTTTCACTCAAACTCCACATCTACTCTGATCCTCAGACCATTACATTCTCTCTCTACAGGAACTTTCAGAGCTATCTTCTTCTCTCTCACTGCCATTGCCCTAGGTCATGAATTTGATATTTCTTCCTGGGGTTATTTTCTATAGGCTCCTAACTGATTTCATTGGTTTTATGGATGGTTTTTCTATCCTTAAAGTCTGATCTCTACTAAAGCTTAAAATCCACATTCCCTAATATGAAGTTTGGCTAAAACCTGCCTATCTTCTGATACCTCAAGCACCATACAGAACACTTGCCAATTATGCCAGGAATTAGACCTCCCTCCCTGTTCATGCTGTCTCTGTTTCCTGGAATGTCATGCCATGTTGTTCTTGCCCATGAAAACCTTACTCATCCTTCAGAGCTGAGCTCAGATGCCAGTCCTTCTGTGAAGCTTTTGCATTGTGCCACCTCCCCCAACTCCTGACTCCCTGCAGAATTAATCTGTGCTTCTATAGCCTTTTATTTATACCTTTGCCATGGTACTAACTCCAGTGTTTGGTTCATAATGAGATGCAGGTTAGTTTCCCTAACTGGACTGTGGTCTCCTCAAGGGCAAAGGGCATATCCTTTCCCCTCTCTCCTGCTGCCTCATGGTGCCTTGAACATAGGTGCTTGGAATGGAGAGGACGAAGAGTTATGTAATATCCCAAACTTCCATAAAATGCTAGAGAAAATGAAGTAAGTTTTAGTACTGCTACCACTGAGTGGAGGTACAATCAAGAACAGAGCTTTCACCAGGTATTTACATTACAACTGACAATCTAGAAAGCTATTATATTAGAAAAGTGGGTAATAAAATAACAGAGAGGCTTTCAGAATAATGAACATACATTTTGCCCTAGTGGTGTTTTATTTTAGCACAGATTGTAGTTTAAACACAAAACATTAAAGAATAGTGTGCAGTTTACTTCTGTTTAAACCTGGATGCAACACTCAACCTGTGAGGAAAAAAAATGGACCATGATCTCATAAAAATGGAATCTGCAGGGTAAAACTTTTCTTCTGAGAAAATGTCTTTAATTGAACATTAAATTCTACATCGCATGACTATTTATTTATACAAACTGAGTCTTGATATTTTAAAAAGCTACTTTAGACTTGAGTTCTTGACATTGTTCCATGGAGAAACATTAAATATATATCAATTTATAGCACATTTTAGTACTTCAGTGAGAAAGTAGTCCCTTCATCACAGTGATTATTTCTGGTCTTTTAAAACCACAGGCACATAAATGGCAATCCAATATGTCTCACCAATAATGAGCGGGGCATTTGTATCACAACCTGGTATCTTATGTCACTTCTAATAAAAAGAAAATTTTGTGTGTACATATATATGAATTTATATGTATATGTACACACATCTAAAGTGTATATGCACAAATCTGTGTATATATGTATGTATATGCATGTATACACATACATATACTTGCACTACACACACGTATGTGTGATATATGTATATATACTGTATTTTTA